ATATTTTATTCAAATTTTGTGCTTTATCCATAGGGCCTGATTTGTCCCTATTCTCAAGAATCACTGTAAGACATTCTCCCTCTGTGCTTCCTTGTTCCCCTAATCGCTATTCTCAGTTTGGTTGTTGTCTCTCTGATATCTATCCTGAAACCTCCAGCTGTTTTTCCTCTAAGCGAATAATAATCACATGTTTTCTATTTAAAAGAAAACATGTGTTCTTTATCACTTACTCACGGGGAACGAGTTGCCGTTTTGAACTGAACTATAACTGCAGTCTAATAAAACAACAACAAAAAAGATGCGGTAGAGTGTGAACAGTTCTCTATCAGCAGCTTCCATTGCCGAGCAGCAGCTGTTAGAGAAATCCGTTTCCATGGAGACGAGTTCACAAACTTCCAAACAGAGTGGGTGCAACAGCTTTTTGTCCGCTTGCACGATGAATTCAGAGTAAGTGATACGAAGCTGTGCTTGAATATGGACTTTATCTGACTTTGTCAACAGTTTACGTGTTGTTTTGTGTTCAAAACGAGGCTTGGTTAAAACCAACTTTTTCTTGCCAAGGAGAGTTTAAACGCTGCACTGTTTATGCTAGGATTGGCTACAATGCTAATTGTGTCGTGTTTGTATTTTCTCCAGAAATTCCTTACTTTTCTCGGGTACCTATGATGAACCAGGGAAATCTGGCAAGTACAGCTGTTTATACTTTAAACTTAAAAACAGAAATTGACAGTAACATCAATGAATTCGCGGGGTTGTGGTTGCGTCGATGAGATGTAACTATTTTCCGTGTGTGTCTGTTTCTGTGTGTGTGCATTCAAACAGGTGTCAGGACAGGGTACAGAACACAGGATGGGCACATCTCCCAGATCCCTGGACTGTCCCCAACCATTAGCACCCCGCCCGAAGAGAAGCTCAGAGGGAGAAGAGTTGCAGTGCTGGAGAGCGATTCTGACTATGTGAAACTTGCAAAGCAAGGAGGACATAAGGGTAGAGTCATCCTGTTTGCCTTATTACAATCGTGCGTTTTGTTCGCTTTTCATTACTACAAATAAACGCCTTATTTTTGCTCTTTTTGGTGGGGTTTAACAGGACTTTTGTGGCATGAGGACATAAATGTTTTCGCACCAAATCCGTACAAACCTCCGGACTGGTTCTGCACTGAATCAGGAGACCTCACTACACCAAGGTGTTTAAATGATCTCATATGCTACATTTTGTTTAATTTGTGATTAAAAAAAAAAAAAACTCTACAGTGTGAAGGAAAAAATTTTAAAAACAGCTTCATTTGTATCAATTGAAAAAATAACATTAAGTTGTGTACGTTTTGTGTCCTACTCTTGTTTTTTCCATGGGGATCATTTACAGCATCCAGCAAAAAAGCCCTGGAGCCTATCCTCCACTAGAGGCTCCCTTTGGGACTGACAGCATTTCACCAGAGGAGGAGAAAGATGACGAGGATGACGACAGCAGTGGAAAAGAAAAGGTGTGTAGTAATTAATCACATGGGGTAAGTTGTACTAATTTCCACTTTAAAGCGTACCTCTGGGACCGTTCATGATGCAATGTGACATTATATGCTCACTTTTTGGCCCGGTTTTGTTTCTTATTTATCTTAACTCATCACAGGCATACACTGCCATGCTGTCTACACAAATATTCTTTTAACTTTATTTCTGTTTTTAGGATCCAGATGCTGATTGCAACCAGATGGAGAAGTTGCAGACTTCCAATCAATATGGGAGCAGCAATTATAAGAGAGTGTAAGTTACTACGGTCACAAGATGGTGCTGTTGTTCTTTGTTGAAGTCTGTGTAAGTAGTGTCTTAATACTCCCATAAACAAACTAAGCTGTTATTTTTGATTAGTAACTGAGCTTCAGTACTTATTGGAATAAAATAAAATAAAAAAAGGAAGAAGTTCAGCTATTGTAATGCAACATAAAGAATCCACACTGAGATTTAATAGGTGTTTCTAATTTATGCTTCAAGATATTGAAATTAAGTTTTAAGACTGTTTTGAGCTCTTTAGGCAGCAATAGCTTTATGTAGATGTTTTGAATAGGAATACGTCCAGTTTTGATTATATTTTATCATTTATAATTACTGATGCAATACAAACTGCTGTTGGTACATTGGACACATCTGTTAAAATTATATTATGATTGAGACTGACTGTGTATTGGCATTTTTCTCTCTCTTTTTTTTTTTTTTTTACTTTGTATCCTTTCTGTTTTTATAAATCTTAAACCTTTTCACATTTGCTGCATTGTAACTGTGTGTAACTCCAGAGTTACACTACTTTGGGCTGATATGTTGTATAAAATCCCAGCAGAATAGATTTAAGTTTGTGGTTCAGTGTGACAAAAATGGAGGAAAAAAGTCCTAGAGGTATGAATACTTCAAGCACTGTACAAAAAGATTCTCTGACTGCTGCTTGCAGAAACATTTGCATTAAACTAGCATGTTTAATGTCTTTTGAATATAATCAGCTGACATTTTTGTACAGATGTCTTGGAGCTGCGTTTAAGTCGAACAGTAATTAGCATAAGTCGTAAGATTCTTAAATTCTAACTCCCATGTTGTGATGACAAAGCAGAAAAGCTCGTGGGCACATTGCACGGTCAGGTCATATACAGCAGAACAAAGTGCAATGGCTTCTAGGACAGTCTGAGTGTCCAACTGTTTGCTTTGGCTTACAGCGGATCTGAGCTGTGTGTTCCAGTAGCTCTGGGAAAATGTCAATGACATGTCGGGACTCCAAAGGACGCATTGCTCAACGCTGCAACACGGTTACGGACTATGTTCATAACAAAAGGAAAGTTTTAAAGACATAAAAAAAAAAAAAAGAAAAACCAAAACAAAATCTACACATTACGTCAGTTTCAGCTTCTTTCTGTCTGGTCCTAAAAGAAAACCAAAACAAGAGAGGAATATGTAAAAACCCTTTTACCGTTCATAACTGTTTTTTTTATTTGGCCTTTCTGGTGAAATCTTTTCAGATGATGTGTGACTTGGGTGACTTTGTCCATTTAGTCACTTGGTGACTAGATAAAGACAAAGACTAGATCATTTTGGAAATGCCAGTTGATGATTGTGCGTGCTTTGTTGAAAGAAAGAAAAAAACTTCTTTAATCAGTAGCCAGAGTTTGTCGGGAGACGGAGTTGGGGTTTACCCAACAGTTAAGTAACTGGGTAATGTTTAATCCATGTTAACTGTAATCTGTTTATCTTAAACAGAAACACATTTATGTCAGTGTTTATGTAATAAGAATGGACGAAGCTCTACACTTCTTTCAAAATCTACTTAAAACAATAATCATTTTCGCTGCCATTTCAGAACTTTTGACAAGAAAATGGCTCCCGTTGACATGACTAAGCTGTTGAGGTTTGGCTATGCAGAAGACGGCGCACCTCAGCAGTGATTTGATTCATCCAGTAAGATGTGCAGCAGCGAGGTTACGATCGCTTTATCATTGTTAAAACATTTCCATTGTCTTTTTATCATGCTCCCAGAATGCACTCCTAATGCGATAAAGCAAAATGAAGGCAAGCTGTTAAGCAGTGTATTGATTTTATGTGACTGCTTTATGAATAACCACCACGAAATGACAAATTTGCTGTTTAAAACTTTTAACGTTTGAACCATTGGGAAATTTATGAAGCATCCTGACAGTGTTATGTAGATATGATAGTGACTTATGTGGGGATGATTAATGCAGTGACTCTTGCTCTTTTTTTCCCATCTCCATGTCCACAGGCTGGAGGATTGCCAGATGTGCAGAAATGGGATGCATGCACTTCTAGAAGAACGGTTGCCATCTTTTCTTCTGACAATTTCTCAACTTTGTCCTGCTGAGCGAGATCAAGCATTTTACCTAGTTCGACATCTTTAAAAGTGTGAAAGCGATGAATTATGGCTGTAGTGTTGTATTTATTCTTCCCTGTAAGTGGTGCCTCATTAATTTCATCTGTTACGTGATGAAGGTGCGTTTGTTAAAGTTTCTTTGCGTATGTGAAAATGAGTAAACGATTACTAAAATAAAGTTGAAGTTGCAAATGACTCCGATTCTTTTTCTCTGCTTTCAACATGAACCCTTTCGCACCCAGATCTTCCATATTCTTTACCTGACCGCCTTACAGTTTTCTGTAAACAAAACGAGCTCTGATGAGTCTCATTTCTGTTTTGTTCACTTCTACAAAATTTAAAACACGAATGGTTTAGATTGTAGGCATTTGTGTTTGTCCTCGATTAAATTTTGCAAACTATAATTGGTCTTCTTACATCTACAGGAGTTCTTTTTATTAATTTGATATTTAGAAAAACACATACTTTTGGCAATTCTGTCTAACCTAAAGTATGAAAGGTTTTGTGCTTAATGTAGGTTAAAAATAATACACTCCCTTAAAAAGTGCTGCGCGAGTATCCGTGGAGGTTTGAAAACATAATCATCTCCTGTGTTTATCATCTGAATGAACCATGTGGCTGCTGGTTATACATTGAACGTACTGTATACGGCTGCTTTGTTGTCAAACTGTTGCATGTAAAGGTCAGAGGTTATCTCCGCGTTCCCTCTGTGGGTTTTATCCGTATGCGTCAGATATTTTCTGAACTCACATTGGCTGAATTGTAGACATTACACACTTCAGGGTTTATTCATACCTCACTGTTTACGTCTCACAGCCTGTTCCTGTTACTGTTGTTTTTTTGGGGTGTTTTTTTTTTGCTTTAGTTAAATATTTCTACATCACTGTGCTTCCCCTGTTTGCTTATCAGTGGTGGATACTTTAAGCAGACGCGCAAGTGCTGCTACTCCTCTTTTCTGAACCAATCAGTGGCTAGGTCAGGGGTGACGGGTATATCAACCCCACTGTTGGGTTGACTCTTACTCAAAACACAGTTGCATCAAGTGCATTTGAGACATCTAAGACTTTATTTCAAAGCATCACCTACAGTCATGGCACCGATTCTTCTCAACTGCATGGGGAATGAACACAATGACTACATCAAGTGAGTGGTTTGTATTCTATTGATTCTGCGCGTACAATGGATGTGATCCTGACTGTGTTTTAATATGCAGTAAAATACTCTTAGGCAACAGGTTCAAGTTAAAAATCCCTATTTGGACACAATGGAGGAGGACATTCTGTACCACTTCAGTTTGAGCACAAAGACTCACAACCTTCCAGAGATGTTTGGAGATATTAAGGTAAAAGCCTAGCGACGGAAATACAAGCCTGCCCGTCATAAAACAAAACTCACTGTATTAACTGGTTCCTCTCTGTTAGTTTGTGTGTGTTGGTGGCAGTGCGAATCGAATGAAGGCTTTTGCCCAGTTCATGCACCACGAGCTGAAACTGCCGGGAATCCCAGAAGACATCAGAGATATCTGCGAGGGGACCGATCGCTACTGCATGTACAAAGTGGGACCGGTGCTCTCTATAAGTGTAGGTATTCATTTTTACAGAGATGAGTGTAATCTGCGTTCACCGTCACAGACTTCTACAGCTAGATTTTTAAAATATGAAGTTTACAGCTTTTAGAAGATGTTTTTTTGTTTGTTTGTTTTTTTAATTGTAGCATGGTATGGGTGTCCCTTCCATCTCCATCATGCTGCACGAGCTCATTAAGCTGCTCCATCACGCCCGGTGCCGTGATGTGGTCTTGTTTCGACTGGGAACATCTGGTGGAGTCGGTGAGACCAGATTATATTTTTCTCCTGAAGACAGTTTTATTTTATTTTTTTAATATAGACTTTCATCTATAAAACCCATTGTAATGCATCATCTGCAGGTTTGGCTCCAGGCACGGTGGTGATCACTGATAAAGCAGTGGACTACTCTTTCCTCCCCCAGTTTGAACAAGTTGTTCTGGGTAAAGTTATCACTCGGAGCACTGAGCTGGATGAAGGAGTTGCCAACGAGCTTCTGCAATGCTCCTCCGAGTTGCAAAACTTCCCAACCGTCATTGGAAACACCATGTGCACCCATGACTTCTACGAAGGTACTAAGCAAAACATCATTCATAATTCACTTCTGAGTCCTCTTGGACTCGCGTACTGAAATATTCTGTGTCTCCACAGGTCAAGGCAGACTCGACGGAGCTCTTTGCTCTTTTTCTCACGAGGAAAAGCTGGAGTATCTGAGAAAAGCTTACGAGGCTGGAGTGAGGAATATCGAGATGGAATCCACCGTCTTTGCCGCCATGTGCCGAGTCTGTGGCCTGAAAGGTGTCTATTTATAACAAATTGTTGAACACTAGAATGACCCAGTACAAGAGCTGTGAACACATCAGGCAATTAGTCTAATTTGATGTTTCAAGACAGACAGAAATACACTTCCTGTCTGAGCAAGAAATCTCCGACCTGCAGCATCCTTTACGGAGATGAGCATTTCTAGCTAAACGTGTAGAGTCAGCCTTAGGATGAATTAATCTTTAATTGCATTAGGAAAATCTCACACTAATGTGTACTGTTATTCAGTAGAGGGACAAAATGTCCATGTTAGAGAAAAACATTTGAACCTTTCACAATTTTATACTACTCTATTTAAACTGCTTAAATGAACCGCAGCACAGACACTTCTCGTCAAAATGCGAAAGTCGGGGAGATGTGTGTTGACCTAGAGCCGAGAAACGGCTGGAATAATAATTGAAACCTTAAAAGAATACTTCCAAGTCTTCTATCTTCAGCAGAGGCAGGAATCAACCATAAGGCACTGGGACAGTATTGTGCCAGCACTCATCACTTCCTTTCTTCCTGCAGCGGCTGTGGTGTGCGTTGCCTTACTGAACCGCTTCGACGGCGACCAGATCACCTCCTCTCACGACGTTCTGGTGGAGTACCAGCAGAGACCCCAAGTCCTGGTGTCCCACTTCATCAAGAAACATTTAGGACTTGTTGCCTGAACGCTTTGCCCCTCCTGTAAAAAAAAACAAAAAACTATCTATATCTACCATGTTGATAATGTATATATACATACACTGTACCTAATGTTAATAGTTAAATTAGAGAAATATTTATGCTTTTTTTTATGATTTATTTGATGAAGTTGAAATAAATATTTTCACATTGCTTTTACAGATATTTAAGTATTTGTTGCATATGTTCATATTAAATGCGCTATCGTTGTAAGGTAGTACAAATCTTTACAATAATGTGTTGTGTATGCTCATTTTCATGTTAATGTGCCACCAAGGCTGACATGCATAGAGTTGACTCCAAAATTTTATGTTTATTTTGATTTGATATTTGATATTTTTGATTTTGTATCTGAATGTCTGAAAATTAAATAGCACCTTATTGAAGCAAAACAAAACAAAACAAAAAAAACAGCTTATACTGTAGCTTAGACAGTGATCTATGGTTTGAAAGGCATTTATTTTTGTAATAAAGCAACACAGACAATAAAGAGCAATATTACATGTTTTCAAGATCTACTTAGCAGTTTATGCTGTACATATGTTATTGTAAAAAAAGAACTTTATGTAAGCAGTCAATAAATAAACACCCATCAGCAATTCCTTTGTTGGATGTGAACTGTTGCAATGCTAGGTCAATGCATGAAGTTTATTACTTATAACAGAATTTAAGTCTTAAATTAATTGCTACACTTTTCATACTGAAATAAAGGGAACTTTGGCAGCACCCCAGCAATGGCTGGAAGCAGCATCAAGTGCTACGTATTTATGTTTACACCAGGGATGAAGTATCAGATTTAGGATCATATAGGAGCGTTTTTTTTTTTTTAATGGCTAGCATTAATAACTTCAAATCGCTGCTGCAATTTCTATATGCATGGCTTGCAAAACTGTATTCTCAGCCATGCACATTATTGTTGATCTAATGTATTTGTGCTTGTTTATTAATTCTAATAAACTAGTGTTTCAGCTGCAAAACTGCATCTGAAACTCCTGTCAATTTAAGCTTATGTTCAAACACAGGTCCAAACTTTTCCTGTAAGTTTTGTCTGCTCATTTGTAAGTCTTACAGCATGTTGAAGCAGCATTAACAACAAGTCTTCAAAACATGTAGCAGACACTTTAGAAAACTCCTCTGTATAAAAAAAGAAAAGAAAATATGCAGCAGGATATTAAGATATGAGTAGTTGAAGAGCTTAACTGGCATGTGACGACAAAATATGTCAGTCTCTGACAAAATTCATATTCAGCATCTGAAATGTGTTGAGATGCTGATAAATGATACATTTTTATGGTATTTAAGCTAGAGTTTTTATCTGCTAAAATAGTAGCCAGGTGTTCACTATTGGTCCATATTTATTCTTAAATGACTCAGGTCAGGATGCGGTATGACAAACATTGAGACGGGAACATTCTAAGTTGCTGCGTCGTTTAGCTCTATTAAGATCTGGGGCGACCGTGGTCAATAGGAAGATTGTGGATTTGATTCCAGCTTCCCTCATGTTGCCTACTAATCTGTGAATCAGTGTATGGAAGTGTCCAAGTTAACTGGCTAATGTGGTGACAGTGTAAAGCACTCGGAGCGATTAGTGCAACAAGAAAGGCGCTATATGAATTTATTCACTGTTTTAAATGAAAGAGAAAAAGGAAAATGCTTGGAGCAAAACAACATGAGCCAAACACAATTCTTGTCAGAACTGAAGTGTGGATTTTGTGTCTCGTCTCGGTGGCTTAGGAGGCTTGATTTGGGACAGGGCCTCCTTGGCGTACTGGTTTTGGTGTACTCCAGCTTCTCGGAAAGCCTGCTCAGCTCGGACTCTTGGATCTGACACAATCTGGGAGACAGACATGCAACCGGTACGTAGTAAATTAATTACATATTTACAGCTTTTTCCACTAAATTACACAACTATGTTTTTTTTTTTCTCTCTCTCTCTCTCTCTCTCTCTCTCTCTCTCTTCTTGCTCTGAACTGGGACAAAGAAGCCACAGATCCAGCAGCCTCTGCAGCTTATTGATTTACATGGTGTCCTTGGGATCTTGGCTGTGTGTTGATATGAGGGCAATCATTGTTTGATAAGTCACTTGCTTTGTGTATTTTTCCCGATGGCATGGGTCAGTCTCAACCAAAGTGAAACAAAACCTGAACGACTGATTGTTGTAGCTGTAGAAACCAGGGTGGCGGGGGGG